ACTCTCAGCCGTTGTTGTTTACCAGGGGGGGGGGGGAGGTGTGTGTGTGTGTAAGCTCCACGCCGTGGTACAGGTCTTCCTATCTTTTCTTCCAACAACCAATCAGAATGGTGGTGGGGGAGGGGTGAAGGGAATGTCAGTGGAAGCCTCTGCTGGGGTCACCATTAAAGGGGCCCTTTTGTTTTGTCCCCCAGTCCAGTCCATGGACATTCCAATATTTGCATGTCCATACGAAGCCCCCTCTGACCTCAGCAGGAACACTTTCATGCCATCGGCGTAGTCACCCCTCCCAGCAGTGACATAGACGCCCACCAGCATTCTAATCTGTAATGCGAACACAGGGAGAGGAGAGAGCAGAGTGCTGACACCTGACTAGGACACTGCAATCATTGCTCCACAGTGGCTGCATCTATAGAGGTCAGTGAGGGCGCCATACTGGTATATATAACATGCCGACATTTCACGTACTGCACATTCACGCCGGCTCCTGCCCTCATGGAGCTTACAATCTGAGGGGCCCTATAGAAAATAAGGGGCCACTTTAGATAGGAGCCAATGAACCTAACAGCATGTCTTTGGAGTGTGGGAGGAAACCAGAGTAGCTCAACAAGGGAGAACATGCAAACTCCATGCGGATTTGAACAGAGGACCCCAGTACTCCAATGCAGCAGTGCTAACCAGTGACACACAGGAGCCCTTCCCTGACGCACATTGGACTGGTTGGGACGCGGTTGTCACGGGTAACTTGATGGATGTTGATGTCCTCACACCATGAACAGACCTGGAGGCTGCACAGTGTCTTCTGGTACATAGAGTACACCAAATTAATGGCAGGATGTATAGCGCCATGTCCCCTAGACCCCCACTCCCCCTTCTTAGCGCCGCCGGATGATGGTTGTCATGTGCTTCAGGAAGACCAATCCCTTTCTCAGGGCTCCATTGAGGGTGTCATGGCGGATCCCTGAGGCCTGGGTCGGTTACACATTATAACGGATGTGTAGAGTTGTACTGACAATCTGCGGGCTTCCTATAGAATGGGGGGGTCAGGGAGGGGAAGTATACATATTGGGAGTTCATTATGGGGGTACATTATATATATATTAGGGATATGTTGTGTTTATGTGGGGGAAGGGGGGTTATATCTACGGTGTGGGGTATTAGGTAG